TTCACGCACAACGGACCTATTGAGAGTCTAAGTGCGGAAACTGAGTCCAAACCGATAACCAAATAGCTTTGTTAATTATATAATAAAAAGTAGAGAAATAATTTGGTTGAAATAAGTGAAGCTCTAGCCGCTACTAGCCATTGCCGGCGACCGAATGCCAAAACTGGTTTGAGAAGGAAGGGTTAAGCGTTCGCGAACACGTGCAGTAGTGTGCGCTCGCATTCGCGTCAGTGTGCGTGCGTGTTCGTACGAGCGCCGCGCACCGAGAACCGACTACCCTTACGGGTACCGCCGCGTCTACACTGCTAGCTGCAGTAAGCTATGGCCTAAGAAGAGACACATATTAAATATTGAAAGATTGAGCCAAAGACTATAATTACTTCCCAACTTCTATGTACTGTTGGTAACGTTGTTTATTTTAATGTTGAAAGCTCTTTTGTTTCGGACTTAAATATTTGTATTGGAGTCCATTTATTGATGAAGGTCAAACAATTTAATTTACTACTTTCACTTCAATTGTAGACCTTGACTTTAAAAAAATGAATACAAATACAGATGGAACCATTATTAGTATCGCTTAGCAATAGTTGTATGTCTGCCCTAAAGCCGCTAATAACGTTGCTAATGCGTTTGTCTAATTTGTTCCGCCACATTCCGCTGCGATCGATGTGTTGCCGCCCTTTGCCTACCGACGACTGTACTGGACCCGAGGTTAAAACAGCATTATAATAAAAAATTGATTAAATGTGTCTGCCAATTTAAGGTATCTATATTCTAAAAGTATGAATGTTTCGTTCTCTTAAAACTCTTCTTTTCATATCTTTTCCAATGAAAGAGATTGAGTGAAACTGATCGCTGAGTACCTATGACTCCCGTATTACATTCGCAAAACGTTTTGTCGCGACTCTGAATCTGAGAGCTGGTGACGTAGCGTGAAGCCTACGTGGCTTGGAGATCCCGGCTTCGATTCCCGGAAAAACAATAATCGTTTCGTATTTGTAGGCTAAAAGATGGCTGATCACCTTCACTATCTTCCATATATATGTCAGTATATGTACAAGTATGAAGTGGTAGTGAGTAGATGGTAGTTTAAATTTCTTTAGAATTACTTTTTCTAAAACTTTTGTCTCATTCTTTGAAAAACAACAAGAACGCTGTTGTTTAATGTATGGAAAAGTTATAATTATGCACGATTTATAGATGTTTTCTTCCCCACTCGGCCCCATTCTACTCTTCCGTTGGGCGGAGGGTGTTCAGCCGAATTTCTTTGAAATCGATCGCCAATCGGCACTTGTGTTGCAAAAACGAAACAACACCGAAGCTCTCCATCGTTTGATATTATTAAAATTGTACGTTTCCATTACCTCTGCCACACAAGCTGTGGCAGCTTCAGCCTTCAACAGCAGCTGATTGTGCTGTCTTGCATTTGGCATTAAATTGCTATAAATACTTACAACATTATATAATAATCAATCAATCTATTTTAATTAGCAATCATTGTGAACTACTACATGCCTGTGTTATAGTATTTGCACATACGTATAGGAACCATATACCTGATAGAATATACAATTCAGAGCAACATATTGCAGATATTAATTTATTGAAATAGGAAGTAATTATATATGCAAAAAAACTATTTTTAAATACGATTTAATAACAATCGTAATATCGAAGCAATTACCTTGCTTACTTCTAAAATAGAAATCTAATTTGTTAGTATTCTTTTACGAAATGGTACGGTAAGGCAAGCTCAAACGATTTGTAATAACCAAAACGAGTCGAGTTTAATCAATAATCAATAGACAAAGGCACAAAAGTGGGACAAAGCTGTAAGCTCAACTGTCAGGAGCACTAATTTGTTGAATGAGATCAGCTAACGCATTATCAAGCGGCTTTGTCCACGTTGTGAGGACAGCATTGTGTGGCCGAGTTGGCACAAAGGCCCGCTGAGGTGTGAGCCCTCACTCATCTTTTCTTCGCGACTGGTTTTCAAAAGCGTTTTGTCTACATTCGGAGGTGTCGTAGACTAGCATTACCTTGCCTCGCTTTTTGTCAACTTTTGTCTAAATTGCTCTCGTGAATCATCACCGGGTAACCGAGGCCAAGCTGTGTCAACTAAAACAAACAATTGTTTATTTCTAGAACAGAGCCAAAGTAAATTGAGCTCAGAATAGTTCAACATTTTCTTATGTTTTCTGATGTGAAGGTGCTGTGAATTGGCACCTCATCACCAAATGGCGATGATGTTTTTTTTGTTTGTATGTGTATACCTTCTTGACTTTTGATTGGATTTGTATTAAGGAAACAGGAATCAACCTAAGTCGTGGTAAGGCAGAATTGCATGACAAACAATGTCTGAGAAATGCTCGGTAGCGAACAGACGGACATCGAGGTGATACGGGCGGAACTAAAATGTGGAGGGCATTGGCAAAATCGGTGATAATTATTATTTCGCCGTTTGGCTAAGCACGCGGCCTTTGTGCTCACCTCTGAAGGGGCCCCTTTGTCGAGGGCGCAGGCGGCTGGCCACATACCATGCTCCACATACCTACTGTATTGATTGCCTGCTAAATTAACGATTACCAAACGAGTTAGTTATTATTTGTAAGGTCTTTGATTGGGCCTTGGTATATTGTAGGCGGTAACTGCCATCGTTTAACGATTTTTAAGGAAGAAACAAAAACTTTATCACATTAAACAGATGTACAGTCTAATAAGAAAGTGCGCTAGCCCCCACACTAGGATTCCCTGTGGGCAGCCAGTCTCTTCCATTCGACATACTTATCATTAAGGTACTTTAAGTAATAAATTATAGGTACATAACACTTACTATATATGATTTTACTATTATTGCACAAGAAATATAGTTTCGGTTAGAGCACCAGACAGACTTAATGTCTAAAAAAAAATTTCATGAATCAATCAATAATTGCAAAACAAAAACAAACCTATTATATCAGTAAAACCACACTTTATTCATGTTTTGGAATACTTGAGATGATATTAGTCAAATGTTCAAATGATGACACATACCTATCTAATAACTGTATGTACCTATTCATTCATCTATTTCTGTCAAAATGTCCTAACGATGGAACAAATAGAAATATTAGTCTCTTGTTATACCACAGTCAACAGACTAGGTAATACATATATTATATATAATAGTACAATGTCCATGTATTATTACCTCGTTATCCTTACTTAGGTAATTGTATAAATACTAAAATATTTTAGAAATGTACCATTTTAAGTGAAAAGTGTAAAAAAGTTTTTACACAATTTATCGGAGCTGACAACTAGACAACTTTTTAGGAAAAATCTTTTTTGGGAGTCTCGGTAAGGGAAAACGGAACTCGGCAAATTAATTCTGTTCAAAGTTATTCAAAAAAAGATATAAAACATAAATTATTAACTAGTTGATAAGTGACCATTAGGTAATGTACTGTGTCTTCTATAGATATATAAAAGTTAAGTGTAGAAATTAAATATTATAGCAAATAAAACATTCTCATTTATTAAGTATCACAAATACCAGTAATATAAAGATAATAAAGAACCTATAGCCATTTTGTTCAATGTGGGTTCAATTTTAGAACTGGTTTATTTCTTATTTACTTTGGTAAATCGGCCTTAGCAAATAAATGATTGCAAAAAGTAACTTACATATGAATTTTAGTAAAAACAAACTTTAATTTTTAACTCTTCATTATTTAGCAACTTTTTAATCAATACTATACTCTACAAATAATTTAAAAAATAACTTTAATCAAACGACACATGAAATGCTGACTCTGAATTAAAAACCGCTAAAATTTATAGAAACACAGTTCAGACTCATTTAACATAATAATGCAGCAGTATTCTTATTAGATTAAACATTAAAAAAAATTAAATTAATTAAAGTATTTTATTTCATGGTTATTGGTTACATTTAATAATGCACATAGTTACGGCGGCCGACGGAAACGGAAAGGCCGGGAATTAACGTGCGTAAAGACAATATATAGGTATATAATATTGAAAATAAATGTCAAATATATTAATTTCTCGTTATAATGGGTAAATAGTGTAGACACGTTTAGTTGTTTTCTAAACATATATATATATATATATATAGATTTCTATATTTCTTAAAAACCTATAGCGGGTCGAATTAATTGATTATCAAATAAAGAAGAATAACCGTTTTTATAAAACAATTATAATTCGTTTTCTATTATTTTATTAAACAGAAATATTGTTTTATTGAATGGATTATTTTAGATTACCGGCGATTTTAAGATTAGACAAAGATCTTACAGAGAAAAGGTGATTTAGGACCAATATTAAAGGGCAAGTGAGGTTTTGACCGGGACACATAAGGAGTTGTAAGGCTGTGAAGCAGGAGCCAGGCGGCTCACACTCACGACACAAAGAAACCCGATCCCGTCTGACAGCTCGCACAAAGCTCACAGACTTTATAAAGACGCTAATTATAAAACAAAATAAACGCTAATTAATCGCACAAAACGTTCGCGTCGCTACGCAAAAGCTTCAATCCACTCCGCGTTTGATTTATTCTCACCTACCTAAGTTCCTTCATTGAGGTGGCGGTTTATAAGTACTCAACTTATTGAGTTCTATTTTATTATTCATATAACATATTTAATCATTCTTACAAGATACAGGAAAAGGAACTTTTCTTCCGTGGAAATATTACTACTAGATACTTATCAATGTTTGAACTTTAATTTAAAATATCGAGTTGCTAAATGAATTCTGGATGCAATGGTACTTTCCTTCGATAAAAGTAATTTGAATGAAAATACAATTAATCTTTACTTCGAGATCAACTAAATTTAGCAGACATTCTCGAATCTCAATATTTGGTTACTTGTACAAAGAAAATAGCTGTACCTGCCTATTAACAAACTATATTTTTCTTGTATAATTTTGGTTGACGAACTGGTTCTTTTAACACAGTAAAACATTGTTTATTATAAATGTGGAATTACCTATTTGAAAGAAGGAATTCTATTAATTGCGTCACTTTTAAAAAGACGGGTGACCCAAAGAAGATAGTATGATAATAGAGAGATTGAGCTCGGTCTGATTTTTAATATCTTGAACTCACCGGGCGGCGGATGCAGCAGTGGAGGTCCAGGGAGGAAAGCGGCCGCTACGGCGGCCTGTGCGTTGAAGGCGGCGGCGTATGCTACGCGGCTGGCCATCGCCGCCGGCAGAGGGAACTGGGGTGGGTAACCGCGGGCATCGCGGCCCTCGGAAAGGTTCAGAACGCGGTCATCGCGGCTCTCGAGGTACCGGTCGCGAGCATCTCGTCCGTCCGATAGTCCCAGCAGCTCTTGTATCGCGAACGGCGACCGCTGAGGTGCTCGCGGCGCGCTCGTGTTGGCGCTCATGGCTTGCATCTTCACTCTGGTCCTCAACTAGACATAATTCTACTAACACTTGCACTGGAACGTTCGATCACTTTTTGAGATTTTTTTCTAAAGTTGCGAAGTGAAACCTAGCGAGAGCGATATGTGACCGCACGGCGACCGCTCTCCGCGACGTGCCGAGCGTGTCTGCTCGCGGCGCCGCCCGTCGACGTGTAAAAACGACCGAACCCCCCTCGGCGCTCCGTTCGCGGTTTCGCTATTGAAAAATCTTAATTCACCACCCTTCCCGTGCGCCACCCGACCTTTCGGAACTGAGACGCGCAACCGTAGCACCGAAACTAAAAGGTCCCAAAAGCGGCGCGGCCGCGCTGCGCTTCAGACGTTTCGCGTCGGGCGCCTCGCCGGCCGGGCCGGGGGGGCGGGGCCTGCTAATAGCCAATACGGATATTTTGTTACCGCACTCTATTGGCCGGATTTCTTCACGGCGTACACGCCCACTCGAACTCGTGCCGACCGAATTGATACTACAACACTTCGAGTTAAAGCTTAAAGTGTGGGAATCGGTCGAGTCGATTTAATTTTGATTAATCGTAAGAGTGAGCCGTCTCTCGGCACTGCGGTGCGACGGCGGCGACGACGGCGGCAGGTGGCCGGAGAAGGTTCCCGCGAGGCGGAGGCCTATAATGCGAGAGGGGGTATTAATTTACGTCCGCGAATTCACACGAGTGTATAATATCCCATTATAGATCATTACCTGCCGCACGGTTCGGGGTAAAACTGCGTTAAAACAAAGAAACCTCTTTTTACGCCCACATATCATTCAATACTTTCTGAAGACTGTTTTGTTCATTTTAGTTTCGCCTAAACTTTGCATTGAGATCGAGTCCACCACTCCACGAAATTGTCATTTCTTCAAAAATATTTTTTTTACTTTTGATTTGACGAATTACTTTAGTCGTTAAAGTCCCTTTTAAATAAAGCACAAACATTGATAATACGGAAACAGATAATACAAGGGAAGAGTACGGATTTAGGGCACAAGTACCTATCATAAAAATAGGTTCATCTAGTTACTATTTTAAATTAATTAAATGTTGTGAGTAACATTTGATTACATTTCAATCGCACTTCAACAGCTACAAAAACATATTTTACTTTTGTTGTAATTAGTAAATTTATATATTAATTGGTGAGGTACTTTGATGGAAAGATTGGATTATTTCAATGTCTGTTTGGAGTATTTTGTGGTGCAACAAACATCTCATCGCTCAAAGTAGATTTAGGTCGCAGCCAACTCTCTTAAGTTACTCTTAAGTAGTGTTTCGTTTAACTTGAATGTTAATTAAAATATCGAATACAATATTATTAATTTTGCTGAATGATAGACTTGAAGACTTGGACCAAAGATAGGTATCTTAATATTTGGGAAAAGAAGGTTTGATTTATTACATTTCTAGCCATAGACAATAATGTCTCAACCGTTCTAATAGGTACTTAAAGCAGTTGGTAGCCATGTTGGTTTTGTTTTATTTTACTTACATAAGAATAAGTCTTTGATAAGTAGTCATAAGTCAAAGATAGATGTTGTTAATACATTGTAAAGTAAGGAACTGAAAAATGTACATTGTATTAGATTTCAATCATCTACCCATACTATAATCCTGATTCACTCCCTAGACTTAATTCAGGGGCTCAAATATCTGCTAAAACAATGTACCTAACTTGTTATTGAATAAAGAAATTTGAATTTTTGAATCGTATTTTATCTAATTAAGAAAATCAAGTGATTAATAAAGGCAGAAGTATTTTGCCTTTTTCCTATCGTTAATATACAGAAGGTATTATAGATATTGACACGTAATTTTACAAGATTTCAAATGTTTTGATAAATTTTCATTAAGTCAATTAAAGTGGCTCAGTTTTGTAATTAATAAATTACCTGCCTAATAATATATCTTTACCTACGTATTATTCGTTTGTTTCCATTTCTTCTTTAAACACGCAAAATCATTACTTTGAAATCGATATATTATGTAGTAGAAATAGTCCCTAAACCACGTCAGGTTTGAGTAGGTATGAAGAGTTGAAACTGTAAATCGTGGTAATTGACTTTCACGTTATCTGGATTCTATTGGATGATATAAATCTTTAACTGTACTCACCTCCAGATTTAACGACTAAAAATAAATAAATTTGAATGTGTCTCTCAGATACATTTAACCGATTTATAAGACCCGAACTGACGGTTTTATTTATACATTCAGAATAGAGTGGTATTCTTGATGTTGGGCATAGCACCAATGGTATCCTGAAAGTGTTGATCACAAAGAACACGCATATCTTGAACGATTTATGTGTTTACTAAACAATACTAATATAGCCACGAAGACCGTTTACTTGATTGTTACTAACTCTAACTAAACCTACATATGGATTTATATTATTCAACAACGTAAGTGAGTGATTGTATATTAATAAGAATAACGAAATGGCCAAAAGAAGAAGAGAGAATAGCGATGTTTGTGGGGCGATCAAAATATTGTAGTGGTGTAAGAGCTCGTGTCACGTTACGCTCGGCTCGCATTGTCTGAATCGGTTCGCACGATCTTTTCTAATTATTTTCTTTGCTTCGCCTTTATGTACCTGCTCGTATTGATCGTCCGGCTTTTGAATTATTATGTAGTTCACTGCTGTTATATTAGGAATTATTTTTTGTCCTGAGCTGACTACATTATGAATTCAAATGTTTCTATTTTTGGTTTTATTAACAGTCAAGAGTCAAAAATCATGTATTCATATAGGTAACACAATGTACACTTATGAACGTCAAAAAAGAAAATATATACATGCTTCTAATTTTACATTTACTGCCAGTTCTCAAATCAAGGGTGTAGAACGGAAGAGAAGAACTGGCAATAAACATTATTTTAATAAAAATTACTTCAAAGTCTACTACTATTGTGTATCCTATGGATTCATTACAAATTAAAAAATATGTGCTAAAAGTTAGTTAGTTGCGCCACTAAAAGTTATATGGATCAACTCAGAACATTTTATAAAGAAAAAGTTTTTACTTTTATTTGAATTAATTATGTTCCGACTTATGGAGTGCCGAGTTTCTTCAATTCCCTAGTTTTTGAGATTTGGTTATTCACGCGTTTCTAAAGGGGATGTTCCAACTACTTTTTTCGGATGATGTATTAACAGATGTATGGCCTAAAACAACATATCATTTCGTACCAATGATATTATATTATTGTGTATGATCCTTCAAAACTACCCATTCCCGTTATTACTTCCAGCCTCACTCACCTTCGGGCGTATTAAAATTAAATTATTTCATTAAACATAAATTCGTATGAAACTAAACCATTAGTATAAATAGTACGATGTCTATTCAGAATGTAATATAATATAAATTATTAATTCAAATATCATCAGAAATATTAAATTAATAAAATATTTATTCTAAATCTATGCTACGCACTTTTTGAACTAAATCTTAAAGTGCGTAACATATATTTTTTTATATCCGAGTTGGAATGTATTTGCGCTCCGATGAACAAGGGTATGTAGGGATCCAATCCCTCTAGGCTTTCTGATGCTTAGAAACCGCACAGGCAACACCACCTCACTCGGTACTTTCTGCTCGACCGCATTCTATTAGGGTCTCAATGGCATAACGAACTCTTCTCTCTTGCACGAGTGACACATCATATTAATATAAAGAAACAGACAAAAACAGTGTTTTAGTATACAAGTAATAATCCTATTAACTGTTACTATGTTTTATGCTTCTGGCCATATAGCAAGAATGTCTAGCAGAAAGTGGACCAAACGAGTTACCCAAGGGAAAGGACCACCAGGCAAGAGGCGGAAGGGGAGACCCTTAGACCGCTGGGAAGATGATCTGAAAAGATCAGCTGGCAAAAACTGGAACTCCATAGCACAGGACCGACAAAAATGGGCATCTTTGGAGGAGGCCTTTACCCAAACCGGGGTTCCTGTTAATTCATAAATAAAAAATATATATATATATATATAATCTAAGCTAACCTACTAAAAAAATCAATATTTTTGGTTACTGTAGGTACTATAGCAACTACCAACTATTGTAAAACAGGAAATAAAAAGGCTTATTATTATTATTATGTTTTGTGCAAGTGATAGTACATATATATTTCATAATTGTATAAGTATTAGAACTAATTGTAGGAATACATAAATTAGCAATAAATAAGCAGCCATCTTTGGTTCCTGGTGGCTGCAGGACCTTTGGGTTGAACAATCCGGATGACTAACTAAGCGACGGAGACCATAAGATGCATATTCTTCTAATTTGGGTGCTACTTCATGACTAAATGTTTATGTTTGTGAAATATAATCTACAAAACCATATTGTAAGCATCAACTAAACGAAAATGTAAAAATAATAATTATATGTACTCAATTATTAAGTATTACTATTATTTATTAATATTACTTTGGATATATTAAAAATGCAGATAATGATAATGGTAGGGGAGCCCAAGAGGGGATTTCGGGATTTACTAAAGCGCGGCAGATTAATATATAGGGGGATACCTTGTACCCGGTTAAGTACCTCCACAAAATATGAGGCCCATATATAAGGCCGCCCGTGAAGGAGACAGGATCAGATTAGTAAAAAAAAATTGACCATCAGAAATTCCCGAGCGCGTCAGATTAAGGTAGGGTGAGTTAATTACATCCTAAAAAGTGTATATTCCACTAATCTGACAATTTGAAAGTGACGTAAAAAAAGGGGAGGGCAACAAAGTTGTAAAAAAAAACGTCATCTCGACATTCTCGAGCGTAGCTAATTTTTTTTTTATTTTGAAGGAAATAATTCAAGAATAATGAAAAATATATAATCTGACGATTTCCGCAAGCCGAAATAACAAAAATTCGTCGATAAAGTTAAATACAACTTAAATACAACCACCCGCATCATGCAAACGATCAGATTAACATACGTACATTATTAAAAATACGTAGGGCATTGATGCTATCAATATCTGACGCGCTCGAGGATGTCCATGCAACAGTTTTTTTTTACATATTTAATAATCTATAGCCGCTTCCCCCACCGATGAAAAGGTATATATCATATAACATTTTTTTCTTCTTATTATCTAAGCTTTGCATCCCAATAGGTCTCTACGACGCTCGAGTAAATCCCCATTTAGCATCGTGGGCTCCCCTACCATAAAGTAAAATTTTGGCACAACGTAGTGTCACCATACATTTACTGTCTTCGATCGCCTTAGCAACCGAGTTTCACCACCAATGGCTTAAAGAGGTATATCATATCAATTAAAAGCATATTTTCCCAAATTTCCCAAATCATCCAACCTAAATAATTCACTTTATTGTTGCCTTACGGCTTAAACTCTTTTAATAAATGGTTTATGAGTGAATACTTTGTAAAATATAACTAAAAGGCTATTGTTGTTTTAATTTTACATAAATCTTAATCTTGTCTGTGTAACATGAATACAAAACCATTAAGCCTATTTCAGTGGTATAAGTGGTTCGAATAAGTGTATGTACTTGTGTTGCACTGAAACTACTATAGTATTAGATTTTAATCGCGTATAGTGACTTGTGGCGGAGGTTGGTATACTCCTCCTACAACTTAAAGGGAAGGTCCTCGGGCAGCAGAGCTACTGATTAGGCTCGAGAAGTTGTATATGGGAATCATCTAAGATAAACTTGTCATTCATTTCAGTTGTCAAAAAATTTCAATTTTTTTTTTAAACTTATGTTTACTTGAATTGTCACACATTTTAGATGTAAGATTTTGTAAAATAATTAGTAGATTTAGTACTGTGTGTGATGTCGTAAGCTTAATAACTAAATAAATAAATAATAAATTCAATCATTCAGTCATCAAACCACAAAACCTGTGGTTTGAAAGCTTTAAACTTTTACGTTCTTACTTTCGCTGATAGGTTTTAAAGGTTAAAGAATTTCATAGAATTATGAAATCTTAAGAACGGTACAAACAGACATGTTATAGACTGATCAGCTTTGCTAAATTATTAGCGTTATACGTGTGCTAATTTCAAGTGGAGGCCAAAACAAGACTATACTGATTCAAAATGGTTCAGGCAAATAATTGCTAGGTGCAACGATGATTTTTTTTATTTTAAATTTTTACACAATAACTTTAACCATAACTGTATGAAGTAAAAGATAAACGGATATTTATTCAAAATCCTTGAAAACTATTTTAGTATCAGCAAAACCATCATTTTTCAGTACTACGACTTGTACCTCCTTCATTCTTTTTCAACATTTGCAGCACTTACCACTACACTTCATCGGTGAATTGATTAATTGTAATAATTGAACACTTATTCTTAATTCTTCATTTATAAGTGTCCCACATATGTTGTAGTCTGCATGGTCACCTACCAAACCGCCATTGAACAAATTGTTGAATGATTTCCTTATTTATTCCATTGAATAAAACATCAATTGTCAATTTGTTATATCTTATTAAGTACAATGATGTCTCGTGTGCAGGGTTTAATATTTTAATGATGATTCAAATAAAACTTTTAAGACTATTCAAGATTTTAAAAGTGTTTTAATCGAAACCTTTATTTATTTACTTTATGATAAATAATGTAATAATAAAATAAGCAACAGTAAACATTATTCTAACAAATGCATCGCTTGACATTCTGACTTCAGAGATTTGTGTTGTAATACTCACTTTCACATTTGGTAAAATAAATAAATACTTAATTTAATGATAAACTAGAAAGCTTTGGCTATAGATTGGCTAGCTCAAATTCAAATTCAAATTCAAAAATCATTTATTCACGTAGGTAACACAATGTACACTTGTGATTTGTCATTACAGAAATACATATTAATGCTTCTAATTTTACATTTACTGCCAGTTCTCAAATCAAGGGCGTAGAACGGAAGAGAAGAACTGGCAATAAACTCTTCGCCACTCTTTTTAATCGCCATGTTTTTTTTTAGTAGTAGTAGTAGCTCATTAGATGTCTGAATATAGTTATCACAGGCACGGGAAAAGATGATTTCAAATACTAATTATAATCGTAATTTGGTATTTTACTAAAGCTAATAGAGTGAATCGTCAAAATCAACTCATAAGTTTCACAGATTACTTCGTTTAAGCATACAACACAATTTAGATGACAAAGGTTAAAATGTTGAGATCAAAGAAGTTTTCGTATCGTACAGAAGTGAACCAAAACTTAAAGTTCAAGATTTCAACAGGATACTTGAACCACTATGGAAGTGTAATTTAACATTAAATAAATAAATTGTTTCGTAAATCTGGAAAGAAGTTATTAATATTATGTATTTAATTTTTGATAATCTGAAGCTTAAAAATGAGATGATCATTTACAATTTTTGAATTGAAAATAAAGCCAAAACACCATATTTACGATCAACATTATGTACTGACAAAGACTATCCTACTAAAATATAAACGCGAAAGTTTGTAAATATGGATGTTTGTTTCTCTTTCACGTAAAAACTACTACATGGAGTTTAATTAAATTTTACATAAAATACATCAGAATAACACATAGGCTACAATTTATAAAGATATTGGGTAAATTGTCTAAACTATCAGTAGGAAAAAATCTACCATCTGCTAGCTATTCTGGCGTGCGCTGTCAAAACAGCTAGAGCTACACATAATATGTAATGTATGATGGAAATGTGATTTTAAATTTATTAATTATTATTATTTATTATAGCCAAAATAGTAAACCATAACTACCATTAAAATTGATAATTTATTTGAAATGCGCATTTGATAGTAATAAGTTTATTCCTAAATGAAACTAGATACTCTTATCGCTTCTGGTATTAAAAGTACATAAAATATGTCTTTTGGACAAATATTATTTTAATCCTGCGCAGACGAAGTCGCGTGCACCAGCTAGTTTACTATTAATTTGCTAGTTGAGGTGTGTGTAATGTGCAATCTGTGGGGATGTGCGTTTTTAGGTGATCATAAAAATCCATTCGATTTGCTTATTTTTCTCTAAAAATCGTGATTAGAGATAATATGGAATGAGTAGACGCTCGCGTACTCCTTATTATATAGATTTACAATACCAATATTGGGATATGAAACTAAGTATGACGTCCTATGAGTAAGAGTTCTATAATCGGGTACATTTAAGTTGAATATTTGAATAAAATTTGGGGCAGTCAATAGTATTGTATCATACACCATGTAGGTACATTAAGACATCGTTAATCTAAACATGAGGGAAAAGGGATAGAATAGATACTACAAATCGTTTCATGTAACGACCGACGAATACACAATTTATTGATGTTATAAAATTGTAGTAATATGTAGTATTGATGGTATAATTAGATGAATTAAAAATAAAAATTTATAAGACATTAATTTAATTTAAAGACGATACCGAGGAGTAGTAACGGTTGTGAGCGGTCGCTTCAGCCAACGACAACGCTAAGTATAAAAGCCTAATGTGACTGCAGCCTTAGAAATCAAAGACTGTTTCATAATTTCAATTACGGCTTCACACGCAGTGAGGGGGTACGCACACATTTTTATTAAGTGTCGCCGCCCCTTCTCGCCCCCGCCGCCCCCGCGGGGACTGCCCCACCGCCCCACCGGGGACACAGGGGTGCATAATTGCGGTGTGCACCTCGTTGCGACCAGCGCAAACTGAGTTATGGGCATTTTGTGGTAAGATGTGGTTGCTAAGATTCTCTTTATTTGTTCTTTCACTATTTTATGCAATAAGTCTAAATAAAAGACGAATGTTATTAATTAGATATTCACTAGAGAAGGGCAGAATTAGAGAGTGGAATCAAATAAATAATTCCCTGTGAACATTTTTTATTCTTAATTTCTAAACTCATATATAAATTTCTAGTTTAGAATCTATCTAATCTAATCTATGAAAGGGATTAAAAGTAAAAGTAAAAAAGTATTTGATTGTTTATGACATTATGACACCGTAGAGATGCATTCAGACTAGATAACGATACTGTAGTTTATTTTATAAAGTCAAATAATACATTTTTAGCATTACAATCAAAAAGGCAGATTTAATAAAGCCATTAAGAACATTTGAAATGATTCGTCAACAAAATACAGGTTTTTCTCAGTGCCTGTTCTAAAGTAATAACTTTCCAATGCTCTTTAATATGTCTATATATTCGTTATTTTTCGTCCTGTTTCACAATAACAGTGCAACCACGTTTTATATTAGAATAAAAAAATCTTTTCAAAATGTTGTTACAATAATAGTAATAATTTGTACCTATAGTTTTTCAATAACCATCAATTGTAGTCTATCTTGATATAAATAGCTGCCGCCCATGGAACTGCTATAACCATATCTAGATTTATAAATTTGTATGACAAACTGCATGAAAATAGGTATAGCATAGGTTTTATCCCAAACCAATCACATATTTAACTGCCTAACACAAGGAGGGTATTGGGGTCTAGGGGGTCACACTCAGTATATGTATTACACTTAACAAAAACACCCGTAATCGACCTGAAATATCTAACGCAATTTGACAACTCACAAACCTGTAACGTTAAATACGCCTGCATCAAATATTTGTATGATAAATCATGGTACTATGACCTCGGGTGAATTTTTAGTAAAACTGGAGTAGTTAGCGGAACATTCTTCGATTTGATTCATCGAGTGGCCAAATATTTCTTAATTTCCAGTAGAATCACATTTTTTAATTGTTTAATGTTTGATAGTGATTTTATTATGCGTAAATAAAACATTAGAAACGATATTTATCATATAAGTAAGTATAGGTCTAATCAGATGTGGCTTCGAGAGGACTTTTAACTTTAGTAGGAGAGTGATGAGTAGGTATATACTATTAAAGTTAAAACAATGAAACCGAATAATTATTATTATTGCATAATACAGCTGTTGATCTGCCTGTTGCCTGACTGACATGTTAGTTTCTTCGATGAAATATCTCAACACTTTAGGAACCTATTACCTAGCCTTTTGTTTTCTAGTTTTATGATTATTTTTCATACAGACAGAAATAGGCTCGGTAAAAGATACATAAATCTTAATATGAATACAAGAAATTTTACGCTTTGCATTGAACACACAAATATTCAATTACAAATACTCCAGTTGTGAAAGTCGCATTGTTAAGTTTAATGATTGATAATTATACTTAGATATAGATAATTGTAGCATTGCTATCGAGTTCAAACTATCTCTTTAAATCATCCGGCGGAATTTAATTTTATAATAGTTTCAACGTGTTACTAAAACCAAGTTTGCTGTGTACATAATTAAGCATATATTGCTTTTAATTGTTAAGAAATATTAGCGCAAGTACAGTTTGATTATAATAAGACTTGGAATTATTAGGTGGAATTTCGTGCCTAAGTCAAGTCCTGGGTTGTATCAAAGTATTCGGTATATTATATTTTCAACGGATGGTTTGATGAGTTTAGTATTGTTTAAAAGTAGTTTTTATTTGATTTCGTCTTATGTCACTGTAAATAATGAATTATTTGTTTTTCTGTAGCTCGGAAGAGTTGGATCAATTTCAATTTGTAGTAGGTATTAATTAGTTTTATTATTTTGCTATATTGTAAGGGTAGTTTAGCTATCTCTGTAGATCTTCCGTCACGCAATACGTTTATTTATAAATATGTTTAGAAGGTCAAAATTGGTTTCGGCTTTGAAAAGAAATGTAATTATTTTCCTATGTCACCAAACTAGGTAATAGGGAAATTCACTTCTCATCATCTCTAGGTACCACTAAATTAAATTTGTGTGGGTTAATTACAATTTTATTTATATAAAGACTGTAAAAGTTTATATTTAGAAATACACAAAGAGATGATATAGTATCATATTGCTGTCTTTTTGGTTGCTTATCATTTTCACGATAATAATACAACATAACATATAATAAGAAAGAAATCTCTCCTAATAAAAAAACGAATCGTTCTTATAGCGGTAGACGTTTATTCGAACTTCGACGGACAAAAAAGTGTTGCTGGTTGTAGAATAATTGACCCGAGTTACGAGTAACAGAAATAGGTAGGTACATAGAGGAATAATTTGGGCGTAATGTGGGGTCTGGAGCCGCGAGCAATTCAGCCGTGCTCTTGAGTGGGCTCTCGGAATGAAGTCGCGTAGAGCTCTAGTGTAATTAAAAACTAAGTGAATATGAAGTATAATAGTTCTTGCAAGAAGTCTCGGCGCCACATTCCACGTATTCACGTAATAATGCACAATGGAGAGAATGCAAAGTGTATAATGCGCGGAGGGCGGGCGGCGCCGGGCGCGAGGCTCGTATGCACCTCCATTATACCGCATACTAATGACAGGAGGCTTGATTAAAAACCTTAGCGAGGGCGGAGGCGTGGCTCCACGCTGCACTCACACCCCTCACCGGTTCCACTCATTAAAAATTATACCTATTAATTAATATATTTATAGCGAAACACCTTAAACAAAATATGAGTATTTGCTTCATTTCTACCTTCAGTTCATTAAATTGCATTTTCAAAATATTTATTTCCATAAATAATGGCTCTTTAAATTAAAAGTGATATTTTAATTTAATTAAAATAAACAGTTTTCTCACGGGCTCGTTAACTTACAGATTTCACAATTATTTCAGATTATTTCTTTATGGCTTGCAAATTGGAAGATTTATAAAAGGTGATTAATTTATGCAAAAAAGTAATTGGCTTGTTTCTAAGCATTTAAATAGGTATATAAACGAATATAAGGTATTACCAATATGAAGAAATTGTGAATTTTGTTCAAACTTGTTGCACCGAAGAGACGGTGAAGCAAAGTGCAGACACGTCATTGTTTTGAGAGCTCTCGTAGCTGCACTCTGCTCCTACAAGCCACTCGTGTCTTTGAACGATTAGTACGACTTAGTACCTCTACTGACATATTTTCATACCAAAAGTTAACGAGGACACGAATGAAGACACAATGAAAATTATTACGCCCAACAATTGTCAAACGTTGTTTAAACCTTGCAAAATATGTTTACATGTTTAATGCGAATTAAGAAATTTTATAAGTCTTATCTCTAAGCTTTTATTGTTATTTAAGGAGAGCTGCATAAGTTGTTCAGTAACTGTGATAAATCGATGTGGGTAATGTGAAGAGGCCCGCATTACTTAAGTTAAAAACTGAGTGGGGAATTTAGAAACATTTCAACTGTTAATCGATTTTTAATAAATAAAATTGCTTTGTGGCGAATATAATAACGATTATGTACCTATGTCTAAAGATTTCTTACAACAAAAGAAAGTTAACCAAAAAAATGCATATTTGTATGTGCATGTGTCGTTTGTTGCTATTCACGTTCAATTTAGACGTACCAGATAACAACCTAAACTATTTGGGGCTAAACGGCAGCTAACACCATCTTTAACTTGAAATGAACGGCTTAAATGTTGCGTCAACTTTAACTTGTGATTCAGTATTTCACAATATATGCAAATAAGATGTATGTATTGACGAATACATAATAGGTAGGTATATTCTTGTTATTCTTTTGTATACAAAGAAAAGAGTTGGATCCAAAATCCTGGTTTGTTTTACGCAAGTTCCTACTTTACGTTAAAAATAAAGGGAAATTGTATAATATAGAATTTCAACATAATAGAAAAAAGTTTCATTCGTTTACAAATATTTGTAAAAGGTGGATTTTTGTCTCCTCTAGACAAGATTGAAGTATAGTGGTGTAAGATGTGTAATCGTTCCTATCACAATCGATTCTACCACTTACCAGCACCAGCGTCTTCAGTTATACCGCTAACGTAGACCTGATTCACTCATGCTTGATATAAGGTTTTTATTAATGCTGGGTCTTCGTACTATGACTGAATCAATTGAGAAAATAATGCGTTGTAGCTGCATCTAAGCCCTCTTGGCGAGTCATTCCGAGTTCACAAGAACTTGGTATTGACTTCTTTTAGGTAAAATGTTCCGTATTGTTAAGAAAAGGTAGATCTTGCATAAATACATTTTCAACTACCTTCTCATGCGTGCAAGAGTATTCAACGTACAACAATGCTAAAAGATATATTCATATAACCAATTTCCTAAATGTTGCTATCCAAAAGCATAAATACATATCATGTGACTAATGTACACTAATACTTATACATACATTTTATAACAGACTATTTTAAGTTCCTTATATAAATGCATTATGTTGAAGTAACATTATAGAGATAATAATTTGTATGGGTACTTACATTGCAGAAGACAGCTCTAAAACACGTTGTCGCTAAAAAGAGCCTAAATACAACAAAGTTTCCGACGAGGCCACATTGAAATAATCTACGAACATATTATGTACCAAAAAATCTATGAATAGTAATTATACTAGAATTTACACTTATTAGCTGTAGTCTTTTCACAGAACAATGAACATTTCTCAAAAGCTTTTGGTTTTGTTTGCCTAACAGATACACGACACAATTATCTCAACGCAGCAATAAAGAAGAAACGGCAATCAGTTGCAAAAATCCGATATCAACTGGCTCGTTAGAGGATAACAATAGTTTTAATTATTAGTTTCGCCGATTGTGCCGCCATGTTGATTTGTACGCGTGCATTGTTTTACGTCAACCAATAATTAGGTCGTTGCACGGGCTGCGAGAGGGCACTGGCCAATCAGAATGCAGCATTATTTGCT